AACAGGGTTGAGAATGGCTTAGGGGAGATGTAGCAAAGTACAGTAGGAAGAAGTGCAGCCAAATATTTAAAAAAGCTACCTTTTAATTAAAATAATAAGCTAAGACAATGTTCTTCAGGGGATATGCCTCCTTTACTCCAGCGGTTGGCTTGAAGAGCAAAGAAATAATGTCCACAGCTGCCTGCAACAACCCTCCTGGTCCTCAGGACACAGAGCTGCCTGCACCATAAAAAAAGAGTTAAGTCTGTCACAATGACACAGACAAGACACAGTCCCTTCAAGATTTGGTGAGGGCTGCTCTCTTTCCGACTGAGACTTTGCTGGCTCCGTTTCATGGACATTCTGGACGAGTCTTTGCAGTGAAGTCCTGAGTGAATCTGAAGAAACCGATGTCCCTGGAGGATGATCTTGGGAAGGGGGACAAGTGGCAAATAAGGCAAAGGTGTGAAGAACAAGAGGTGCAACCCACAGTTCACCTTCATATATTCACTCCGTGATACCCCCTTGTAGTCTCCCTGTGGCCCTCATCATCCTGCTCCTGTGGCTGGATCAGAAGGCCAGTTTCTTCATCAGGAGATACACTCTGGAATCCACTTCAAAGCCATGTAGGTTGTTGGCGTCTCCCTGAAGCCTCATGAGCAGTCCACCGTAGGAAACATAGGCTGAGCTGGAAGAGGGCAGAGGAAGGTGAGGAGGAAGAACAGGGTTCCCTTTAGCACAGCAGTAGAGACCCTTCAGCCCTCCCCGTGCTTTGGACTACAGTTCCCATAAGCCTTTGCCATTGGCCAGACTTGGTGAGGCTTCTAGACGCCAAGAAATACAATGTGCCTAAGATCTTCCACCGCTGATATTACAAACTGCTGCGAGAGCAGTTCAAAACCAGCAACAGACCTTTTTTTGGTGGGTGGATTATTTTTATTTATTTATTTATTGATTGATTTATTGATTGATTGATTTATTGATTGATTGATTGATTGATTGATTGATTTATATCTCGCCTATCTAGTCAGTTAGGACCACTCTAGGCGGGTTACTTGTGATTTTGTATTTCTTGACTCCATCACTCACTTTGGAAAGTAGGTGCAACCTGGAGCAGAAAAAGTGGCCTTTGGATTCATGGAACCTACTCATCCTTGCTCTCTAGGGCATTGGAAAAAAAGCCTTCTGTGACCTAGCCCACTGGTTCTTAACCTTGGGTTACTCAGGAGTTTTGGACTGCAACTCCCAGAAGCCTTCACCACCAACTGTGCTGGCTGGGGTTTCTGGGAGTTGAAGTTCAAAAACATCCGAGTAACCAAGGTTAAGAACCACTGACCTATCCAGCTCTTCCTTAAAAGGGTCTGAACCTTCTGCTAATAAAGTACGAGGGCTGGTCACTACCTCTTGGTTTAGCTACTAAACAGAAGCTTCAGGAATGTTAGAAGCAGTCAGTGTACGGAGTTTGGAAAAAATTAATTTTACACATTCCAACTCCAAATTCCCCAGTTGTTGGCTGGAGGATTCCAGGTGCTGTAGACTAAAATGGGAACTTTTTCAAACTTTGGTAGATGGCTGGCTGGCTGGCTGTCTCCCTCTCCTTAGACAAGTTTTGCTATCCAAACTTTCCTGTAGAAAAACTGGCCTGCAGGCAAGTAACCAGCTAGCAGTTCTGTGCTAGACCTACCAGCTTATGTTCCCAGTGTACGGAGTTTGAAAAAATTACTTTTGCACATTCCAACTCCAAATTCCCCAGTTGTTGGCTGGAGGATTCCAGGTGCTGTAGACTAAAATGGGAACTTTTTCAAACTTTGGTAGATGGCTGGCTGGCTGGCTGTCTCCCTCTCCTTAGACAAGTTTTGCTATCCAAACTTTCCTGTAGAAAAACTGGCGTGCAGGCAAGTAACCAGCTAGCAGAAGCATGTTCTGTGCTAGACCTACCAGCTTATGCTCCAAACAAAGCCTGCCTCGCTCATGAAACTGTAATTGGATTTAAAAAAACCCCAAACACGCATTGGGACCCCAACACAGGCTCCAATCTTGGGGCCCGCTTGAGCCCAATCACCAAAAACTGGCATCTAGCACATCAAGGTTGGAGAGCTGTCAGACCTCCAGGGGCAGAGTTCTTGGCTAGGACCAAGAAACTGGGAGACACAGGGCAGCTCATTGGTTTCTCTCTGTTTGTAGATGGGAAAAAGTAGATGGCAAAACTAGATACAACAATAGGCTAAAGACTACCATAGCGTACAGACATAAATCTTTCGTTGCTTCACTCTTGGGCACAAGAATAATAAACCTTGTCTGCAAGAGAACAAGATGCTTTTCAGGAGTCTCAACTAGGTTTTGCATTAGTGAGAATGATTTTTGTACATATAACATAAAACTATGGCAGTCCCTGCTTTGTATTCTCTAAGACTTTCATGGCCAGGATCTGATGGCTGTTGTGTGTTTTTCGGGCTCTTTGGCTGTGTTCTGAAGGCTGTTCAGTAACGACACCCACCAATCACAGTGACAGATAATCTCTCCCTCTTATCACAAGAACCCACAACAAAAAACACACTGATCACCACAATCACCCATCTCCTGAAAAGGACAAAAGCTGATCCCACAGCTATAAATACTCAACTATCCAAACAAACTGCACCAGAGCACAGACAGAGTTCTGACTCCTGTCCTCTGAAGATGCTGGCCACAGAGACTAGCGAAACGTTAGGAAGAACAACCTTCAGAACACGGCCAAAGAGCCCGAAAAACCCACAACAACCATCAGTCCCTGCTTTGTTTCATGGATAATAACAAACAGGAAACACCTGAATATTTCCACAGCAATTCTGTGTTTGATTGGCACCTCGGTGGGGAGGGCAGTCCCTGCTTTGTTTCATGGATAATAACGAATAGGAAACACCTGAATGTTTATTTCCATAGCTCTTCTGTGTTTGATTGGCACCTCGGTGGGGAGGGGAGAGAGTCACTTTTCTGGTGGAGAGACTTTTTTTGCGCAAATTCCACGGACTCTAAAAGGGGGGGAAACTATTTCTTGTCTGACTCTGCTGGAGGAAAGGAATCTCAAAGAGCTTGAAGCCACTGAAATGTCTTTGGCTGAAATCCAGTAACTTAATGTAATGTCACAACTGGCATCAACTCAGTGAATCACTGGGGATTTGGTGAGTCAACTCCTCTATAAGGTCCACTAATTCAATAGGCCTACTCTACCTATGACTAGGGATGGGATTTTCAGATATTTTGGGACTACAAAATCCCATAATTCCAATTGTGAGAGTTCCCTCTGAGAGACAGGCACCTAAATGCGGCTTGCTTGGGAGAAAAGGTCTGAAGGCTTTGAGGTTGAGCTAGGCCAAGCACTGCCTAGAGCTTCCTGTTCAGAAAGAAAGCTTCCGGCTGGGGCAGGAGCAGGAACAGGAAGCTTGGGCAGAGCTAGGTCTAGTTAAGCCTCAAAGCCTTCCAGCGGAGGCCTTTCAACAGGATTTCTCTCATTGTGCTGAAACAACCTAATTGGAATTAAGGGTTTAGCAAGTATTGTTCCCATTCCCACCACTGCTGCTCTTTCTATCTTGCAACTGCACAGAAGGACTTACAGTGGTGCCCCGCATAGCGATGTTAATCCATTCCAGGATTAATGTCGCTATCCGGATTTGTCGCTATGCAGGGGGGGTGGGAACCATGGGAACGCATTAAACTCCGCTTAATGCATTCCTATTGGGGAAAAACTCACCACCATGCGGGGAATCCTCCATCCAGCCACCACTTTCGCTGCCCGGTAAGCGAGGGCAGGGCGCGAAAACGCTGCGGGCGGCCATTTTGTGGATGCGGTGGCGAAACGCTTACCGATCATTGCAATGCGATGTTTAGCCACCTAAAACATCGCAATGCGATCGCATTAACGATCGTAAAAAATGCACTGCTATGCAGATTCGTCGTTAAACGGTGCGCTCGTTAAGCGAGGCACCACTGTATTTCCAACAGTTCTTACAGTTATGCTATGAACAACTGCAAAAAAGTTAGTCACAGGATGTGTTTGCTTTCAATAAGCCAGGTGTTAAATTTCAATATCACCTCTCACTTTAATGCTTCAGAAAAGTGAAATCTATTCCCCTTTTCTCCAATCTTGCATTATAGCTGTTCCATGGCTGGAAGCCTGGGATGGTTTAGCTATCAACTCGTTTTTTTTCTGACCAGCTTTTTGGAGCAATGGCGATGTACCCAAGCAAGGAAACCCGGAAGAGGTTGGGGCACTTACAGACGTGTGGCTGCCTCTGTGGAAGTCTCATCGCCCTCGATCCTGTACACCTTTCCATACATCACATACTCAAACTGGTCAGCCCTGTGGATAAGGAGGACACAAAACAAAAGAATGTATATGATGGATATATAATCACACTGAACCATGGAAATCAACACAAACATCAAGATGTGCACACAAAAAGAGTGGTAAAACAGAATAGGAAAAAAACTATTACTGTAGTTGTATTGGACACTTGTAGTTATAATGATCCATGATCAAGAAAATCCATGACAGATAAAGCAATAACTTTAGATAAACAGAAGATATTAATGGCAATTTTAATTGTATTTTAATCATTTTATCTTTTATTGTATAGATAGATAGATAGATAGATAGATAGATAGATAGATAGATAGATAGATAGATAGATAGATAGATAGATAGATAGATAGATAGATAGATAGATAGATAGATAGATAGATAGATAGATAAAAACCTAGATTTTGCTTCACAAAATTTAAAGATCCTAAACACACAGTACATGACCTACAGAATTCCAAAAGTGTAACATTAGCTTGCCTTTCCTAATTTCTTTCCTTTACAAACTGCATCACAGACAAATTCCACTCTATAACCACGTTCCAGTTTATGTGTAGGTTCAGAAGGTGCCTCATCAGGAAATGTATGCGAATATGCAATCCAAGCAAAGGCCATCACCCACCCAACCTGATAGAACTTGGTTCCTGTTACCTGGAAGGTCTATCATCAGTAGGGTTATATTCCCCGTCGTCCAAGGTCCCATCCTCATACAAGGTGCTGGCAATCACCAAGCGGAATTTATCGCCTGTAATGAAAGAGAACTTGAAATCCAAAAGGAAATTTTCACCAGTGCGATGACCACTCATGAAGGCCAGAGCCCTCGATGGGAAAACATACACAATAAGAAAACCAAGACAACTTGAAGAAAAAGAAGGACAAACACGAATTAATAGAAGGAGGAAAGAACTATGTACAAGTGATGAGAATGACATCAGGCTTTGAGGAATTAGCATGGAACAAAATGGAAACTCTAATATGGCTATCAAGTGTAGGAGAACAAAACAAGGCAGAAAAGAACTATTAGTGGTTTTGGACCATTGTCGTTATAATGATCGTTAAGAACATCTACAACAAATAAAGCAACTTTACATAGATACAGTGGTGCCTCGCATAGCGACGTTAACCGGTGCAGCAAAAATTGCTGCAAAGTGATTTCGTCGCTATGTGATTTTAAAAGGCCCATAGGAATGCATTGAAACCCCTTCAATGTGTTCCTATGGGCTTAAAACTCACCTTAAAGCGAAAATCCTCCATACGGCGGCCATTTTTGCTGCCCGGTAAGCGAGGAATCCACGCGAAAACACAGAGGGAGGCCATTTTTTTAACCTGGTGGCCATTTTGGAACCGCCGATCAGCAGTTAGAAAATCATCACTTTGCAGTAATCAGTAAGCGAAACAGGGTACCGATCATCGCAAAGTGATTTTTCCCCATTTAAAACATTGCAATGCGATCGCAAAAGCAATCGCAAAAAGTTCATCAGCATGCAATTTCGTCGTTAAACGGGGCGCCCGTTAAGCGAGGCACCACTGTATAGAGAAGATATTAAGAGCAAGTAGATATAAGCATAATTTTTGCATTATCAATTAATATGACATGCCATAAACAAAAACATATAGGTAGAGCATACCTGAAATGTATTACTCTAATTATATACTACTTTAATTCGATTATTAAAATGTTAAATATATATACATAAAATTCCCAATCCAAATCAGTCTGAACAATGGGGATTTTTCGTTCCATAGTTTTCAACCCTTCTAGAAGCAGAACTGATCAAGCGTTTCAAGGTGAACAGTAGCTAGATATGGATAAGAACTTACTCTGACGGTCACTCTGCGCTCTTTCCCCACATTTCCTCCTAAGTTTGCGTCTAAATGCAAACTCTGTGGATCCAACAACAGCCATTTCCCCCTCTCCATCCTACTTTACTTTGTTTAACATTTAGTCCACTATAATGTTAAATATTTTGTAACTGCCGGTTGGCCAAATAAAGGTGCTGCTTGTAACACAGATTTTGAAATTCTTCTCACAGCCCAAAAGGCTCTCAATGTGTCCTCGACTTCATGCTAATCAATACTTTTACCAACAGGAACAAGCTGTGGTAAGTCAAATAGCAGCTTTTCCAATGTGAATTACCAACAGGAACAAGCTGTGGTAAGTCAAAGAGCAGCTTTTCCAATGTGAATTTTCGGAAGGGCAGCTGTGTATGTTTGTCAAAAACAAAGTCAACAAAGAGTCTTATGACACCTTAACAATAAATATGTTTTATTTGGCATAAGCTTGCATGTGCTGTAGCTGTTTGGATCACTCAGTGAATCTAGCTGCAAAGTCAGAAATTGGGAGTTTGATTCCCCCACTGGGCCTCTTGGGAGAACAGCCAGCCTAGGTAGCCTTGGGTAAGCTGCCCAATCCCAGGGTGCCCCCTGAAGAAGGGAATGCAAAACTACTTCTGAGTATGATCTACCTAGAAAACCCTGAAAGGGGCCACTATAAGTCAGAACTGACTTGACAGCTTATTATTAATATTATTCAAGTATTGCAAAAGGTTATGCCAAAGAAAACTTGTTCATCCTTAAGGCACCATGATACTTTCTTGATTGAGATGCCACTAATGTTTGTGTGAATTAACATCAAAAAAAGGAAGAGCTATCTTTTAGACCAGCTGAGCTTAGCAGGGATGGTCGCGGGGGAAGAGAACCTTTCAAATGCCAAAAAAGATGCTGATACTGAAGCAACCCACTGTCAGGGGATAAACAACACTGTCTGGTTAACTGCTTGACCCCACCTGCTTACCAAGATCAACAGGGTAGATCTGTATATTCACATCCAGAATCAAATCCATCTTGAAGGACTCACTCTCACAATGAAGACGGGAAACTGGAAGGGACAAAACTGAGTTATCAGGAAGGAAAAGATCTTCCAGCACTGCGTGTGCATTCTGCTCTGCAAGGATTCACTATGAGAAACCTGGTGTTCACATTCAAGGCTGTAGAGTGTGGCTAACAGCCTATCTGAGTCTGGCAAACGCCGCACGAGCAACTGTAATGTGTGATATAGCACAGCTTTCCCAGTGCACTGCTGGTATTGGCTAACAGCCTATCTGAGTCTGGCAAACAGCGCACGAGCAACTGTAATGTGTGACATACCACAGCTTTCCCAGCGCAATGCTGGTGTTGCTCTACAACTCCCGTAACTGCCAGCAACACTGGTTCTTAACCTTGGGTTACTCAGGAGTTTTGGACTGCAACTCCCAGAAGCCTTCACCACCAACTGTGCTGGCTGGGGTTTCTGGGAGTTGCAGTTCAAAAACATCCGAGTAACAAAGGTTAAGAAATACTGCTCTACAACTCCCGTAACTGCCAACAAACAAATCCATTGCCTTTGATAATTGTAGATCAACACAACAAGAGTGCCCCAGGTTGCGGAGATCTGATATGCTGGCAGAGTGTCACACCAGGAGAGTGTGTGAGTGTGTGTGAGTGTGTGTGTGTGTGGGTGTGTTACAAATCCCACCTCAGACATGAAGCTCAGGGTGTGATCTTTACCCACTAACCATTCTCACACTTTAATGCTCTGAGGACAAAGTGTGTCTGTGGGGAGAAAAAGCATATACAATACCAAGAACGGACCACATGGGATAGAAATGTAATAAATAAATACGTGGAGGGATTGCAGGGCAGAACTGAAAAAAAGTTACTTTTTTAAGACTACAACTCCCAGACTTCCCACACGGGCAGCCTGGGATTTGTAGTCCAAGAGGTAAAATCTAGTTAAGTAAAAGTCACTTTCCCACTTCTGGTGCCAGGGAAAGGAATAGAGAGGAGGGGCAAGAAGCCAGAAGCCCCTGTGCCCAGGAGGAGGTGAAGGGACGGAGGGACAGGCAGGCGGAGGGGACAGGAGAGACTCTCGCCCCCCCCTTTTTTCTCACCCCGGTCGAACTTCTTGCCCTCCGGGTCGATGTCTTTCACGTCGAAGATATCCTCGAAGAGAATGCCGGCCATGGCAAGAGAGAGGGAGACAGCAGCGCGGAGTGAGAGGCAATGGGGGGGCCCGTCGCGGGACCCGGAGAGCCAAGCGCCGGAGGAAGAGGAGGAGGGAAAGCAGCGGGAAAGCCGCGCCGCCCCGTCAAGGTTCCCGGTTGCTCGGAGACAAGACTGTAGGGATGCCCAAAAGCGCGTGGAACACACCGCTCTTCCGCTTCCGGCGCCGGCAGATGACGTCAGGCACCTGACCCTCAGGCCGCCATGTTCGTCTTCGGCAAAGGGGCAGCAAAGGCAAGGGTTTCTCTAAGCTACGCATGCGCAGTCTACTTCCAGCTAGAGGAGTCGTGCTAAGCTAGCCTGTAGCGGCGAGAATGGTGAAGAAGAGTTCTGTGTAACCCTGGAGAGGGACCGTTTATGACACAAGGAGGCAGCGCTCAAAATATGCCAGCACAGACTAGCTCTTTTCCCCCACTTGTTTACAGGAGAAATATAAGACACGCTCCCCCCCCCTTTAAGCCTTTTAAATTGAAAAACCGGCGGGGCCTGAGTTTTATTGAGTTTTTAAAAAATTCTGATTGCTTTTTCAGATTTGACTTACAAAGCTGAACTGTTCTTTACTGGTCTGTTCCAGGGCATGTTATCAAAAGGGCGAGGACACAGTAAAGACTTCACAGCATTTTTTGTCGTACATTAAACTTTATTCATTTATTTTACAGATCTCTTTTGCAAGCCCTTTCGGAAGGGCTTCTTTTTAATTTTTTGTCCTTTTATTTTGCCTTTTTATTGTATTTTAAATGCTGTAAGCCGCCCAGAGACCTTCGGGTAGTGTGGGCGGCATATAAGTTAAATAAATAAATAAATAAATAAATAAATAAGTATTAACTAATAAAACACTGATCACACATACAATTTTATCATTCCAGTTATGTCACTGGGGAGGCAATGTGAGGTGCAAGAGATTATTTATCCATTAAATTTCTCCACCCCACCCCACCTAGTGGCATGTCACTACTCTGGGCACCTTCCAGCAATAAATAAAAAAATAAAAAATGTAAACACAAACATAAGAAAACCCAACCATTTTAATACATTGTTTCACCTTAACATTACAGTGCCAAGACGCTGGAGAAAACCCAGCCGAGATAGTTAGCAAGCAAGGCAGTGTGTGTCCTCCATATGTTCTTAAATAGGGTTTGTAACCACTTTCCTTGGCAGGTCTCTAGATCTGCCTTTTATAATGTATGCCAACGGGCGGAAACGTGGCAGGTGAAGGCTTTTGCATCACTGCACCTGCAGGAGGGGAGAAGCAAGCAAGATTGATTTTTTTTCTTGATTTTTTTTTCATGTCCTATGCCGTCCACATTTGAGCAGGAAGCACCTCTGGGAAGCCAGCGTCCTGATCCCTCCCGGCGTTTCCAAATGCCCCCCTCCACCCCCTGTTGCAAGCCACCCCTGTTGCAATGCAAACTATCTGAGGTCCAGGCGGTCCCGAACAGGTAAAATGAAGAGCCATAACGTTTACAAAAGACCTGCCCTTTTCCTGAGAGAGACCCTCTGCGGCTGCCTGCCTCTTGGAGCCTTCCTTTGGGGAAACGGGGGCTGGCTGTAGCAAATACCCCCCCTCCACCTCCGATGGAGACGTGGTTGGTGGGGAGGAGAGGGAGCCCCCTCTCCCCCCTTCATCTGGGTTTTTTGGGGCTGGCTGTAGCAAGCGTCCTGATCCCTCCCCGGGGTTTCCAAATGCCCCCCCTCCAACCCCCTGATGCAGACGTGGGTGGTGGGGAGGAGAGGGAACCCGCCCCCCTTCCTCGCCTCCCTTCCTCTGGGTTCTTTTTCCCCGGGAGGAGTCCCTGGGGCGGGGCTTGGCCTCCCGGGTCCAGGAGGAGGAGGAGGAGGAGAGCGCGCTCCGATTGGTCGCCTCCGCTTTCCTCCGGAGCCCAGGTGGGCAGCGCGCGCCGCCGCCGGCAGGAGCCGAGGATGGGCTGGGCAGTGGCGGCCGGCGAGCCTTCCTCCTTCGCCTCCTCCTCCTCCCGAGCCTTCGATGAAAGTTTCTCCCCGTGGCTGTAGGCTTGCGCGTTGGGCTGGCTCGGACAGCAGGGGGGAAAAAAAAGCATCCAGGCCCTTTCGGAAGGGCTTCTTTTTAATTTTTTTGCACGGTTCCAAAAAGGGAAGGAGGAGCAGCCCCTGAAAAGGGCCCACCTGGCCAGCCACCTGCGTAGAAAGGGTGTGTGCGCGCGTGCACGCAGGGCAGAGATGACCCCCGGCTTTTGAGCTCAGCAGAGGGATTGAGATCCTGGACCTTGACCCCAAGTTTCCCCAAGGATCTTGGCCAGGACGCCGGCTCGCGGTCGGGATCCACCCAGCAACCCGCCCGCGGCCGCGGAGCAACGCCAAGGTGGATGGATCACCAGCGGAAAAAAAAGCTGACCAACTACACCATCGGCCTGATCTTCCTGTCCGGAGGGATCGAGTATGGTAGGTTTGCCTGGGCAAAGGGATGGGCATGGAGGGGGAGGGGGCTTTAACTGGGCCAGAGGGGTGGAAGTCTAGGGCACCCCCTATAAACAGGAGGGTCCCCCAGGAGAGGCGGGTCACCCCAGGAGAGGGAAGCAAACCTTGCAATCTGCTGACCGGTGCAAGGAATGCATGGTGGCCTCTCAAGACCCAGAGTCTAAGACGTGGCCTTAATCGGGGTTGAGATGATCAAGGAGAGGATCCTGGAGCTCATTTAGGAAGCATGATTAAGGCATTGGCTCTTCAGCTGGATTGCTCAAGGCCAGGGCTGGGATTCCCATCAGCCCCAGTCATCCTGGCCAGGGATAAGGAATGATGGGAGAAGCAGTTCAGAACATCTGCAGCTGCCTCATCCTTAGGAAAGAGGGAGTGTGGGGGGAATTAGATCATGGATCTTAAAGCTGGAGGTCCCTTTCTTGAGATGGTGAGACTGAGCACAGTCCAGCGGGGGGGTGTCTGATCCAGCTGCCCTGGGAGTCCCAGAAGAGGCCAGCTGGTTTGCAAAAGGGGTGCCTGGCTGGGGCTCTTAACTTGCTTGGGAGCTTCCCTGACCCCCAGGGCAGATCCGCATAAAGAAGGCCTCAAGAGGTTCTGTACTGTCTGGCCTGTGCCTTCTAACAGGCTCCGAGGTTTGGGGTGGCCCCCAGGTTGCAGAATTGCTGCAAGGAAATCGGAAACCTTAAATCCCGGGAGATGTCATTCCCTGCCCTTTCCTGCACCTGCTTGCCATCCCTGCCAAGGACGGGGGAGGCGTTATCTGTGGGCATACACGTGGTTTAAAAGGTCTGCCCCTCCTTTCTTGCCGTCTCATGCTTATGCGGTGATGTTGCTTCAGGATCCAGAATGGGATCTCGTGTGAATTTCCTAGGCTTCTTGAATGACCTGTGTTTGCTTTGTGCACAACCTTGGCCGTACAGGTCTCTTGTCCCGAAAGGCTACACAAAATGCATCCTTTTTAGTTGGCCATCCCAAAGACGGGTGCAAGTTTCCAAGGTCTCCAGATCTCTTCACCAGCCATGATGTTTTTTAAAAAAAGCAGATAGGCTGGAGGTGAGCGGGAAGAGGGAAATTAAAAATTGTGCTTTATTTTGGTGTTATTGTGATATAGAATGTATTGAGAGTGAGGCACAAAGGATTCGCGCAAATCAGCCTCTGGCAGATCCTGTGATGAGGTTACATTTTGTACCATGCTTATTTTTAATTTTTAATTTTATCCAGCCTGCCTAACTATGGACAAGGCGAGGCCACTACTTTTCTGCTTCTTAGTTATATAGATGCTCGTCTGAGAGATTTTGGCAGGCCACCCTTCTGAGTAAAAGCCGGAAGGGGGGATCTCACTCCCAAATGATGGCGTGAAACATTTCCCCTTTTTTGGATGACAAGCGGCCAGGACAACAACAAAAAAAACATACACAGGAGAAAGCTGCAGTCAAAAGCCAAGTTTTCCTTCTAGAGGGCAGGTATTGAAACCAACAGAATCTGAAGTGAACGCAGAGGGAGTCAGCATGGCCTGTGAGATCCTTGCCAGAATTCTCAGCAGGAGCGTTTTTGAGTCTTGTAAGTGTCCGGTTGAGAGGTCTCCTGAAAGATGTATATATGGAACCATTGCTTTATCTGTATCTAGCCATAAAAAAAAAAAATGAAACGTAAATCCTGTGAAAGGATAATGAGTACAATTATAGTATTTAAAGAAGAGTACTGTGTTTCCCCGAAAATAAGACAGGGTCTTATATTAATTTTTGCTCCCAAAAATGCATTAGGGGTTACTTTCAGGGGATGTTTTATTTATTTTTTCATTTGCAGCCATCTATGTTTATTCAAATATAGTCATGTAATTTTCTGGTTGCTGGATAAGGGTGGAGGGCGGGCTTTCACTTAACTAGGGCTTATTTTTGGGACAAGGCTTGTATAACGAGCATCCTGAGAAATCATACTAGGATTTATTTTCGGGTTGGTCTTATTTTCAGGGAAACAGGATAGTGTGTACAAATAAAAACCACCCAGGTGTACCTGTCACAATGAAGGAAAGGTGAGAAGTACATGTAAGAAATTAATAATCAATGAAGGTCACTCAGGGCTTGGATCCTCAGCAAAAGGTGGCTACGTGGAGGTGCGTGAATCAAGGTTTCTAATATTATGCATGGTGTCGCAATACTGGAGTTTCAGGTCGTGGAGGTGCGTGAATCAAGGTTTCTAATGTTATGCATGGTGTCACGATACTGGAGTTTCAGGTTTATTTGTTTAATTAAAATATGTTTACCCTGCCTTTCTTGTGGCTGCGTTCCCAATTTTAGAAGGTCTCTCTTCCGTATTGTGCGTGGAAGCCGACAGAAAGAGGAGTCATAGATCAAGGACAGGCTGGTCTTGTTAAGCACCTCTCATAGTAAAAATATTTGTGTGTCATGAGTTCGATTCTGGCTTATGATGACTTTCTGTTTAGAAAGTAGAAAGGTTCTGGGTTTCAGTTCCTCTTTAACAGTGTCAGCTTAAGAGTAAAATAAAATCCATAAACTCTAGTTTGACTGCACAGTGTGACGTATAAGGAACAAATATTTCTCCCTCTTGAGAAAACACTCTTCCTAAATTCAGAGTTAAGAGTGGGAGCTATAACTCAGAAGAAACCCTCAAACCACACACAATAAGGTGTTTAAATGAATTGTTTCATGTATGACCCAAAATTAAAAATATTACATTTTTGGACTGCAACTCCCAGAATCCCCCTGCCAGCATGGTCTGACTTCAAGGGATAATGAGGGTATGATGATGTTGGCATTTCAAAAGAAATGTAACCACCATGAATAATGATACTTTATTGTTGAAATGAGTAACATATTCAAATTATTGTCAATAATTACTTTAAAAGGACAATTGAGAGGAATTTTGATGGGAAGTTTTCAACAATGCGTCCCTTTTTCAGTGTTGTAACAATTGTGGGTCACTTTCCAAGTACAGTACATTAATAAGCAATAGGAGCAAACCCACTTAAAAATAGTTTTCCAAGTTCTGAGTATGATCTGATTGAATTCCCTGTGTAATTTGTTTGAAGGATGATGCCATCAGCCCAGAGACTGGACACGACTAAACGACTAAACACACACCATTAGAGTTCTAGAAAGGAATTCTTAGCATCGTTTGTTATTCATGTGCCGTCATCCCTCCTCTGGTACCACAGGATTTATAGCGATCCTGATAGAACTTCCAACGTGAGTGAGATACAGTATTCTAAGGAATGGTTTTGCCAGTTTCCATGGCCGAACTGGGATTCGAACGCAGGCCTTCTAAGTCCTAGTCTGTAATTCTATCCACTACACATACCACACTGTTCCAATTTTTAAAAAGGGATACGTGTAAATGTCTTCCAGAGTCTAGAAACATTATTTTTTGCACCGCAACCCCCAGAAGGACTGCTGGAGGGGGCTTGAGACGTCTTTGACTAATCCATAAGCTGGCTTCTGATTTCCCGATAACGCCCCTTATTTTCTTCCCTTCTTTTCTTTCCCTTCTGCTCCCCATCCGCAGCGGTGATCCTGCCAACCATATGGGCTTACCTGCAGATGCTTGACGCTGAGCCCTACTTTTTGGGCCTGGCCATCTCTGCCTTCAGCTTTGCTGGACTTCTCACGGGTCCGCTCTTCGGCTATTGGTCCGACCGTACTCGTCAAACAAAGCCCATCATCCTGTTTGCCAACATGTTCCAGATAGCTGGTAAGTAGTATATGTAGAGGGAGGGAGGGGTTTCAAATCATGTATACCACCTCATCTTGGGATACCAAATCTATTTCATATCTGTTCATGAATATTATGGGTTTCTGTGTCTTCTTCTGTTTTGATGTCATGAACCTTAGGCGAAATGAAACCATAATCTGAACCTGAAAGCCAGTAGAAAAGTCTTCTAATGGATTTATCACGGAACATGTGACATTATGTTGCTTTAGTTCAGGTTTAAATTAGAAATTTGTGCTAATTTCTAGTTGATAACGAATTCCAGTGTGGGCTAAATATAGACCGGTGGCTCTGGAGGATCTCTGTTGTAAAGGACTTCTGTGCCTTAAAAATTTATAAAAGGGTGGCAGAATCGATCCATATTCCATAGCGGCGGGCGCATGCATGAGATGCTCATATGTGCATGCGACTCAGGTTTTCTACTTTTGAAGTTCATTGGTCCCCTCCTGGAGTTACAAGGTAGATATCTGTTCTGTAATGGGGTATAGGGCTCTTCAGATTTGCAGACAGCCTTAAAATTAAGTGGGAGCACACCAAACTGGAAGTAAAAATCTGAAAAACGGTGGTAGGTGTGAAAAGAGCACAGAAACATTTTTGGGGAAGGACACTGGCTCCTGGTCACTGAAATGTTGCTCATCCCTCCTCTGGTACCATTTTTGGAGCCAACCCAAGGTGTAGATCACTGGTTCCCAACCTTGGGTAATGCAGGTGTTCATGGACTGCAACTCCCAGAAGCCTTCACCACCAGCTGTTTTGGCTGAGGTTTCTGGGAGTTGCAGTCCAAGAATACGCTGGGTGACCAGAGTCAAGGCAGGGCATCATGAGGGTGCACCCACGGAAGCCCTGCTCCTTAGACCATCTTACTCAGAGGCTCCCCATTCTTGATCTGACACTGCTAGTAGTTTTATAGAAGGAAGTGCATTGCTGAATCACTTCCTCATGTTGGATTCTTGGCTGTAAAGGTGCCCTGCCCTCCTTTTTATTGGCAGCAAAGGTGCCCTGCCCTCTGTTCTATCTCGCTATATCTCTCTAGAGCTCGGCGTCTAGTCCTCTCTGTTATTAACCTGTTTTCCCTCCCATGACAAGATTTGTTAAGAGTTATATGCCATAGCAAGTCAGTCTTGCAAATTCTTCTACCTTGCTTTTCAAAGACCAGTTGCAAAACAAGGTACAGTGGTGCCTCGCATTACGATGTTAATTTGTTCCAGCGAACTCGCTGTAGAACGAAAACGTCGTAAAGCGAAAATAAAAAAGTCATTGAAACGCATTAAAACCTAGTTAATGCGTCCCAATCAGCTAAGAACTCGCTGTCCAGCAAAGATCCTCCATAGGGGTGGCCATTTTCGGGTGCCTGTGCAGCGAAAAATGGCTCCTAAGCACAGTGGGGAGCCATTTTGAGGACCTGGCAGCCATTTTGAAAACCCGACGATCAGCTGTTTTGATCGTTGGGAAATGAAAATTGGTTCCTGAAACAGGGAACCGATCATCGCGCAGCAAAATTCCCCCATTCAAAACGTCGTTTTGCGATCGTAAAAACCTCGTCGTAATGCAGATTCGTGGTTAAACAGAGCGCCCGTCTTGCGAGGCACCACTGTACTGTAAATGCAGGATAAGGACATGAAGACATTCACATGTTGTGACAAATAGATGCCTGTCAGTGATTGGGGGAGCACCTCTTCTAGAAACATGCATTGCCTTCCATGAAACCTCTGCTTTTCCTGAAAAATATCCCTATACTCTGGCCTCTGTTTCAGGAAACTTTATGTACTTTGTTGGTGGTTCCAAATGGATGCTCCTGAGCAGCCGGCTGGTAGCAGGTAAGACTTGGACTAGGAACCGCTTTCTAGGTCTAGTCCAGCCTTTCTGGACTTGGGACCTTCCACTTGTGTTGGACTTGTTATCTGTTGCCAAGTTGCCTCTGACGTATGGCAGCCCACTGAATGAGTGACCTCCAAAGAGTCCTGTCCCCAACAACCCTGCTCAGCTGTTGTAAACCCAAGATTGTGGCTTCCTTGGTGAAGTCAATCCATTTCATAGGTTTCTTGTAAACCCAAGACTGTGGCTTCCTTTGTGAAGTCAATCCATTTCATATGTTGCCTTCTTCTTTTCCTGCTGTCTTCAACTTTTCCTAGCATTACTGTCTTTTCCAGTGACTCTTGTTTTCTCATGATGTGCACAACGACGGTCTTGGTTTTGTCATTTTTGCCTCAGGCTGTATCTTCTCCGAGACCCACTGGTTTGTCTTTCTTGATGTCCAGTTTATCTACAAAACTCTGTTCCAGCACCATATTTTAAGCACACCATTTTTTCCTGCTAATGTCCTTTACTTACTGTCCAGCTTTCACACCTGTACATATTGATCAGGAATACAAGTGTGTGGGTGATCTTGCTATCCAATGATGTATTCTTACACGTGATGACCTTTTCTAATTCCTTAATGGCTCTGAAATCTTGATATCCTTCTAATTGCTTGCCTGCAGTCTCCATTTGATGAGCCAACCAAGTTATACAATTTTCCAGTTTCTACATTGTCAACATTAAAGTCCTGTTGTTCTTCTGTAGTCATGATCTTAGTCTTCTTAATGTTCAACTGCAGTCTTGCTTTTCTATTTTCATCTTTCACTTGCATCAGAGGTTGTTTCAAATCATTGCATTCTGTCAATAGATGGTGTCATTTGTATATCTTAAATTACGGAGGGTTCTTCCACCAGTTTTCAGTATTCCATTTGAATCTGAGTCAGTCTTTCCATATTACAGTATATGTTATATCTTAAATTACGGAGGGTTCTTCCACCAGTTTTCAGTATTCCATTTGAATCTGAGTCAGTCTTTCCATATTATATGTTTTGTGTAAAGGCAAAAGTTCCCCTTGACATTTAGTCCAGTTGTGTCTGACTCTATGGGGCGGTGCTCATCCCCGTCTCCAAGCCGTAGAGCCAGCATTTGTCCGAAGACAGTTTCTGTGGTCACATGGCAAGCGCGACTAGACACAGAACGCCATTACCTTCCCACTGAGGTGGTACTTATTTATCTACTCATGTTTTTACATGCCTTCAAACTGCTAGGTTGTCAGGAGCTGGGACAAGGGATGGGAGCTCACTCCTTCGTGTGGATTTGATCTTACGACAGCTGGTCTTCTGACCTTGCAGCGCAGAGGCTTCTGTGGTTTAACGTGCAGCACCACCACATCCCATATGTTATGTGAACAGATCTAATAGATAGGGAGCTAAAATACTCCCTTGACCTATCATTTTGTCTATAGGAAACTATTCTATTTCTCCATATGTAGGTTATGCACCAGGACAATCAAGTCCCGAGACACATTCTTTTCCCCCCCAGAATAACCCACATAGCTTCTCATGATCTACATCACTGGTTCTTAACCTTGGGTTACTTAGGAGTTTTGGACTGCAACTCCCAGAAGCCTTCACCACCAGCTGTCCTGACTGGGGTTTCTGGGAGTTGCAGTTCAAAAGCATCCGAGTAACAAAGGTTAAGAACCACTGATCTACATAGTCAAAACTTTGCTGTAATCTATAAAGCATGGAATGATCTTCTGAAATTCTCTGGCGTGCACCACATATTTGCGATATGATCTCTACTGGCTCTTCCTTTTCAGAATCCAGTTTAAATGTCAGGCATTTCTCGCTCCAAAGGTACAAGATTTTTAGAAACACCTTGATCATCATTTTGCTTGCATAGGGAATCAGAGCAATGATCCTATTGTTACTGCACTCCTTAGCATCACCTTTCTTCGGTATAGGAATGTATATTGAAGTTTTCCAGTTTGTAGGCCATTGTTTTGTTTTCTATATTAGTTGGCATATTCTTGTTAGGATTTTGACAAGTGTGCCTTGAAATAGTTGTACTGGCATCCCATCTACCCCAGTACTTTCACAGCAGCTTTCACTTCACTTTCTAGATTTGCCAGTTTTCCATCAGAGGGATCTTCTTCAAAGGAATCCTTTTATCTCTTCTATGTAGGTTTTCATTATACTGGTACCACCTTATCTTTATTTTATTCTGCTCAGATAATAAATACCCTTGTTGATCTTTCAGCATTCCCAATCAGGGTTTAATTTTTCCTTTGATTTATTTGATCTTCCAGATCTCTTGTTTTTCCCCCTTTTGTTGTTATCTTCTATTTCTTTTCAGTGGTCATTGTAATAGTTCTCATTGATTCTGCATGATACTCACTGAAAAGTTGCATTCAGGATTCCGAATCTACTTTTTTCACTTTTACTTTTGTTTCTTGCTTCTCCTTTAACATTTTTTTCTGCCATCATCCACCACATCTTGTTTTGATGTGCGATCAGTTTTCTCGTGGACACTTGCCTATGAACTTTTGATTTCTTCTCCTTCAGCATCTGTAGATGGAGCATAAACTTGAATGATGCTTGTGTTTTTGATTTCTGCATAATTGTGATTGTTATCATTTGTTCAGAATTACCATGAAAGCCCCTAAATGCTTGTGCTACATCTTCCCTCAGTATTAGAACCACTCCATTTATTTGACGTTCATAATTTCCAGAGTAAAATATTTTGTAGTTACCTCACTGAAAATATTCCAGTTCAGTCCACTTTATTTCACTGACACCAAGCACTGCTATGGTTAAATGTCCCATTTCTTGCTCTACAGTTTCCAGTTTACCTTGATTCACGCTTTTCACATTCCATGTTCCAGTCATGTGTGTTGTGCAGCATCAGGTTTTTCATCCCCCTTTGTGCATGTCAGACACGAGACGTCCTTTCAACTTTAATCTAGTTGTGTCTTTAACTACTGTGCTATTCATACTTACCCTTTGTTCCTCCTTAGTAGCTGATTGAGTACCTTCTGACCTATGAGTCTTATCTTCTAGCACTATCCCTTGCTTTAATTTCGGTTGCCTCATTGTAGGATTTTCAAGGTAAGAAATTCATCCATCACTTTTTTCTTCTCCATATTGGACTACAAAGCCTCTAATTCCCAGACAACACAGGCATAGTTGTTGGGTCTGATCTCTTGCATTGATGAAGGTTGTAATCCGACTCACCCGGAGGGCATCAAATTGAGGAATGCTTGACTAGCTAGAGTTACAAGAAGCGTGGATGGGTGGGCTTTGGTGACACCTCTTCTCCTCCCATTGTCCGGCTCTCCTCTGCAGGTGTGGGAACTGGAGCAGGAGCATCCATTTTTGGTTATCTCACCCGCTCTACGGCTTCTGAGGAGCGTGCCACTGTGTTCGCGGCTGTCATGGCATGCCGGCAATTTGGACTGCTGGTTGGTAAGACTTCTGACTCGTCCTTGATTGAAGCCTTGGTCATTTTCTGTTTCAAGTTTGTCCTTGAGATTTCCTCTTGTTTGGCCTTGGTTATCACTTCTCTCCGGCAGTTTGTGGGTGGATATTGGAAAAAGAAGAGAGAAACAACTGGCCATCTCCCATTTCAGGTCCATCAGAGTTTGGAAAAGTTGTGACCAATGCCATAACTTCTGCCACTATGGTTACTGAACAAGATGGTTAGGGATTCGGGGGGTGGGGGTGCAGTCCAAAAATGACTTTTCCCAAGTATAATTCATATGGACACCATGCGCGGCACACAGCCTTCGGGACTCCAGCTCTGGACTAGCAACGTGGAGAGGGGGGATCTGCTGCTTGGGTAACAGCCTATCCTCCATATTACTTTACCCAGGCTTCATGCTCTGGAGAGGGCGCTCCTCAATACAGAGCACGTTACTATAGTCTCTCGAGACTGAAGGATGCCTATGCATGCGCGGCAACTTTATATCCTCCATATTTATCACACTTGAAATCCAATCCCATGTAGTCTGTGGCCACCTCTTATGGGAACTTGACTAAGGAAAACAAATGCAGGATGAACTGAGTTTTTTTTTAAATACAGAACTTATTTAGGACTGTTTATAATAGATTTTCCATAAGGTGGAGCGCCTTTGAAAAATTCGGCAACTGACGTGCAGCCTTTCTCCAACATATGGTACCCTCTATGTTTGTTGACTGTAGTCCCCATCAATCCACAGCTGGCAAAGGGGGACCAGGCTGGGGAAGGTTGGTTTAGCACAGGAATAGGATGTTTTTTGGCCTTGAAGGAATGTTGGGCTACAAGCCCCATAATCCTTCTTTATTCATGCTGACTGGGGATGATGGCAACTGAAGTTGGAAGCATCTCAAGTTGGAACTAGGGGTGGTTACTGTATAACAAGTAGTGCTACTAGCGATCTGTTTTGGGCACAATTTGGACTGCTGGTTTTAACCTATAAATGTAACCCACCACCACCCTCCTTGGGTCCTTTTTAAGGAGAAAGGCAGGGTAAAAAGATTCTAAATACATAATAAACCACAGGTTCAACACCACTGTTGGGTCATACCCCAGTTTGCTCTGTTCTTTCCTATGCATGTCCTCTTCAGACATCTGACATGTCTTTTTTGCCATTAGGGCCAGCCTGCAACCTTTTCCTACGCCTCTGTAATTTCCGGATCGGGCCTTTCGTGGTTAATAAGTTCACGTCACCCGGGGTGAGTGGCCACGTTTTCTTAGAAAGGTCCATCGAAAGCCAGTTTGTCTCTTGGTTCTTCCCTGGGACTCCCTGAGGCCAGAACGACTGTGGTGGGATCCGCTTTACCGCTAGGTAGACGGTGGCGACTCTCTTCCGGTGGCAGACTTGATAGTGATGGGGAATCGTGATCAAGAAGCAAAGGGCAAATTGGGTAATCTCTTAACTGGTGTTGTGTTTTGCTTGCCAGAAATGGCAGGATCTTGCTTGGGGAGTTTTTTTGCACTGAGGTGGGAAAACAACTGGGCTAGGGATGGGTCCCTTGTGGTGGAACGGCAGTCCTGCAGCCAAAACCCGTCTCATGACCCGGGTTCAATTAAAGGTTGCCGGCTTAAGGTTCACTCAGTCTCCCATCCTTCCAAGGTCAGAAAATTGAGTCTCAGCTTGTGATGGGGGCAATGTGTAGCCTGCATATAAATTAACTTGTAAACTGCCCAGAAAGTGTTTTAAGATATAAGCAACATGCTTTGCTTTTTTTTCTGTTGCGCTTTATTATGGGTACGTGGTGGCGCTGCGGGGTAAACTGCAGAAGCCTGTGCTGCAGGGTCAGAAGACCAAGCAGTCGTAAGATCGAATCCACGCGACGGAGTGAGCGCCCGTCGCTTGTCCCAGCTCCCGCCAACCTAGCGGTTCAACAGCATGCAAATGCACGTAGATCAATAGGAACCACCTCCGTGGGAAGGGAACAGCGTTCCGTGTCTAAGTCGCACTGGCCATGTGACCACGGAAGATTGTCTTCGGACAAAACGCTAGCTCTATGGCTTGGAAACGGGGATGAGCACCGCCCCCTAGAGTCGAACACGACTGGACAAAAATTGTCAAGGGGAACCTTTACCTTTATGTGCATAAAATGAACAACAACACTGTTTCCCCTTTAGAAATTTAATATATGGGGCAAAACCTACTTCCTTCTGCCCCTTTTGTGTCGTTATAGTATCTTTTCATTTTCCTGCCCGGGGTAGTCAAAGTTTAGACCTCTAACCCAGCCAATTCCAGAAAATCCTGGCTGAGTCGTTACTTATGAACGGCACTACCCTGCACCTATCTACTCTGAAATGAGTTCTGATGGATCTTTGGAAGAATTTTGTCTCTCGCTGCAGAAATTGGAAAAAAATTGCTTATTTGGAAGGCAGGTTTCCGAACCTGCCCGCTTGAGGGTCCAGCCGATTTGGAAGAAGTTCAGTAAACTGAATTGCAATCCAATCTGCCCTCCGGTCCTTTTCCAAGTTCTGCATCGAAAGTCTGTATGCTGATGCTTTAGCTTCACTTGAGCGGTGAAATGTGGGGGATCTGGGACTCAGAAGCCTGCAATTATTTGGGGACCCCCCCTCGCCCATTTGTGCCTTGTTCTAGCGCCAGACTAGATGGATACGTTCTTCCTTCTCTCTCTCTTCCCCTTTCACTCCCCCCTCCCTGGTTCCTTTTATCCACAGCTCTTCATGTGCCTGGTCTGGATCCTGCTTCAAATCGTCGCTGTGACTATGTACTTTGACCTCCAGCCGCCGCCGTTGGCCCGTTCGTCAAAGGCTGTGCCGAGAACATCACAGGATGTCTTGGAGGAAGATGAGGTGGAACCTCTCATGAGGCATGAGGCTGGCCAGGAGGAGGCGACAGAGAGCGGAGGCTATGGCAGCACCACCGATGTGGAGCGACAGGAGCCTTCACTGGGGGATGAGTATCGCTACGTGCCCAATGGACACCTCGCTGATGAGGAATCGGCTGACGAGAAAGAGAAGAGCCCCTTCCATGATTTCAGCTCCATGAGAGGTGAATCCTCTCTTTTCTGGAAGAAGCTGACAGCATTTTTTTAAATATCCACATTTATTTATTTGATTAGCTAGCTGGATAGATCAGTAGTTTAGGGATCTGCCCGTGGAGCCCGAAGTTGGGAGTTCGATTCCCCCACTGGGCCTCTTGGAAGAAGAGCCAGCCTGGATAGCTTTGGGCAAGCTTCATCGTCCCTGGGCGCCCCCCAGAGGAAGAGAATGGTAAACCACTTCGGAGGACTCTCTACTTAGAAAACCCTGAAAAATAGTTGCTGTTAAGTTACAATTTACTTGATGGCACATGCTGGCTGGCTGGCTGAGGGGCCTCGAGGTGGCTTACAACAGATAAACAACAGTTATAAAAAGACAATATATATATCATATTTAAAAAAACAATGACACGTATATTAAAATTTTGAAAAATCAAGTTTGGAAACAAAACTGCATTCATTGTGCCATTAGCACAAGGTGACAAATGCGGCTCTCTCTGGTCCCCCCTCCTTATTTTTGCTCTCATGACAGCCATCAGAGGCAGATCTACCTAAAAACGGAGCAACAGGCTCGAGGGGGGAGGGGCAGCCAGCGAGCTTCTCAGCTAAGTGGGGATCAAAACCTCAATTTGCCAATTGCATTGATTTCCCCCCAAAAGGTAATTTTTCCAAGCTGTCATCTTGATTGAGGCAGCTGCCACCATAATAGAATAATCCTATTTTCAGATGTCCACCAGGGGAGGAATTAGATTTTGTGGCGAGTAAGTCTTGAAGACTAAATCGGTTGAAATGGAACACGGAGGAAAAAGTGTCGGCTACAGTTAACGTTAGTAGTTTATTTATTTTGTTGTCTTAAAATATTTTATGGCTACTTCTTAACCTTTTGGATATCTGGGCAGGGCCAAGCCGTAATGGAACTGATACCGTTCAAAGGTGGGCAGGACCTTTACTTGGATGAACTCTTCATCAGGTTAGAGAATTAAAAGAAGTTGAACCTGGATAGAATTCTTTTTATCCCTTTCCCATATTATCTTTCCCTATCCAGTCTTATGAAGAGTTCTCGAGATCTCAAAAGCTTTAATGTTGTTTTCTTTGTTGTTAAGTCAATTCATTGAGTCAATTCTGAATCATGGCAACCCTTTCCAAGGTTTTCTAGATAGAGAACACACAGAAGGGTTTTTATCCTTCCCTTCTTCTGAGGGAGCCCTGGGACAGTGCCGCTGGCCCAAGGCCACCCAGGCTGGCTCTACTCACAGGAGGCCCAGCGGGGGATTCGAACTCTCAATTTCTGGCTCCACAGCCAGACACTTAAACAACGGAGCTATCCAGTTGCCTAATAAAAGTGTTCCTCACCTTTAGATCTACTTTCTTCATTTCAAAATGAAAGAAAAAGCAACGAGATAACAACTAGCCAGGTAGAATCAGGCCCATTTAAAATGTTTAGCTAAAGACAGATTTGAACTACAGTGGTGCCTCGCTAGACAATTGCCTCGCGGGGCGAAAAACCCGCAAGACGATTGGTTTTTACGATCGCTATGGTGCCTCGCAAGATTTTTTTATATGACTGCTTTGCAAGACTT